GCGACTTTGCGTGACAAAAAAATACCCTTCGTCGCGCAAAGGTTCGCAAAAAAATGCGTGAATGCCTGTATTTTGGCGCAAAAAACCAATACGGCGTGTATCAGTTTACGTGACAAATATTTCGTTGCACAAAGGTTCACATATTTACTAGATTGCCAATTGTTTAGTCAAAGTGTTGAATGCGGTATTTACTCCATGGTTTTGCGCGACGAAGGTTTCGTCATGCAAAGAAGCTAGAATTCCTTTAAATTGATAGTTTCGCTCAGTCTTAACACAATTCAATCCAAAAACTCTTTACTTTCACTGAATTATTATTCCAATTTGTTTTTTGTTTTTTCGTACACGATGGCAGACTTTGGTGGTCCTTTGTCAAAAAGAGTTCAAGGAGAAGTTTCTGAGAAAGGTAGTACGTACTAAATTTTGTTGGTTGTGTAAATTAATTAAATATTTAAGTAGATTAATATAAGTTTTTATTTTGTTGGTAGACAAGAAAAATAAGAGAGTTGTGACATGCGGTCGATACACTTCTTTTGCTAAGAGCCGCTACCTAATCACTTACGCAGAATTAGTAGGATATGAGACGTCGGATATGGTGAACAAGTTTAGGGCTGATGTCGGGGTATTGGTGCGTGACAGATGCAGAGTGAATTGGGAGTCTTGGAGAGATGTCCCCAAGAGATAAAGACGGTCATGATCGATGCGTTAGCAGTGCATGTAAATTATTAATTAGTTAAATAATAATTTAGTTCTTTAGATAAAATATAATAGTGATATGTATAATTGATTTATTTTTGCATATCAGACTGATTGGGACATTGACAAAAGTGATGCAGATTTGATGAAGTGCATCGACGTTGAGTTCAAGTATTGTTTTTGGGAGTTGAAGTTTGATGTTGACCATGAAGCAAAGTGACACGGAGTGGCTGGACCAGTGGATGATTAGAATAGTTTTTTTTATTAGTCTATTTAAGGTTTATTAAATAATGACACTGAATTATTATTAATTAGGAAGAATAAATAGACTATATTTATTTTATTTCATCTCGAGAACATATTTCTAAAATACTATAATATTGACATTAGTATTTTGAGAAACTGTTTGTCGCTAAACCTTTGCGGGACGAGATTTTGTTGTGTAAAAACACTGTAAAATGGTCGGTTAGCGTTGAAGTCGTCGTATTTACCGCTTAATAACGCGACGAAAGTTTGGTCACGTAGAACTTTGGGGGATGAAACTTTGTCGTGCAAATCCATGATCGGTGGCATTGAAGTCGTGTCATTTATTAAGTATTTACTACGTATTTATTTCGTGCCATTTCGTTGCGCAAAGGTTGTAGTCCTGAACGCACGACTAACAGTTGCGTAAAGTGTTATGTGTTCTTTATAACCAAAGATTGTGTTGTAGTTTCTTTTTCACATTATTTTGTAACCTGATGGCATATAATAAGGACATTAGGAGCCTGGTGGTTCTGGCTCGAATGGAGGAAAGAAACTGACAGCAGAGCATGACCCTCGAACCCATGATATGAAGCAATATGTGGAGTTTGCACATGCGATTGGTGTAGCAATGCCGAACAATTATCCTAATGCTGAGTGGCGTTCTTGGAAATATGTGCTCGACAATGTGAAGAAGGCGGTGATGGATAAATTATTAGTAAGTGTGACAAATGTTGAAAATAATTAATTTTGTGAAATTGTTTGTTATATGTTGTAATGAATTATGTGCATATATGTGTAACACTCTTGATGATACGAACAAAGAGATGATGAATTTGATGGATGAGGCATTGAAGAGGGGTTACAAGCAGTGGCGTTATGACGTGGAGCGGAATGGAGGACCAGCGGAGCAGTAGTTTTAAATTTATGTTTTTGAGGACAAATATTTAGCTTTAAGGTTTTTTTCTAGATTATGTATTTGGACTTAATTAGGCTTTAATTCATGTTTTTTTTTGTTTAAATAATTGAATTGGTTAATTTAATTTATTTAAGTTTACAATTATTTTTAGAATAAATATTATAATTGAAATAATCGTCGCACGAAGCCTATTTGCGCGACGAGTTTTCATGTTTGGTCGCGCAATTTCTAATATTTGGCATGCCATTAAATTTGTCTTGAAAAATTTAAATTTCCATGAAAATTCAAAAAACGCTCGACGACTTTAGGGTTTGTGTGACGAATGGCTTTGTAGTGCAAATAATTGTGGGACCTCTGCGCAACAAACCGTGCATCGTGCAAAGGTGTTCGTTTTAATTATTTCAGACAATTCTCCTCCTCTCCCCTCATTTTCTTCTCTCTCTCATCCGTGCATTCCCTCTCTTCGCCGCTCTTTCCCTCTTTCAGCCACACTCTCCCTACCTCCCAACCACCGTCTTCCTCTCTCCCACCCACCTTGCCCCACTATTACCTGCTCTCTCCCTCACTCAGGCGCAGTCTCCCTATCTTTCTCCCGCGCAACCCACGTCGTGCGTCCCTCCCTTTCTCACTGTCTGTCAATCCAGCCGCTGTTCTCCACTCTCAGGTATCTTGCTTTTCTTTTTTATTTTTTAATTTCATTTAAATTAACCATTTAGGCTTATTAGATTAGGGGATTGCGGTTTGCCAATTAGGATTTCGATTTGGGGATTAGGGTTTGCCGATTAGGATTTCGATTTGGTGATCAGGGTTCGACATTAAGGTTTCCTGATTTGGAGAATTTATAATTTGACCTTAATTTGTAATTAAGGGTAGTTTTTAATTAGGGGGAATTTAATTAGAGATTGTAATTTGGGGAATTAGGGCTCAGGGTAGGCACGGATTAGATTAGGGACAGGGGAATTTTCTAATTTAGGGGAATGATGTATAATTAGGGCTCAATTGAAATTAGGGCTAGTTTTTAATTAGGGGGAATTTAATTAGAAAAAGTAATTTGGGGGATTAGGGTTAGGGGTAGGCACGGATTAGATTAGGGATAGGGGAATTTTCTAATTTAGGGGAATGGCATATAATTAGGGTTAATTTTATAATTAGGACTCAATTGAAATTAGGGCTAATTTGTAATTAGGGTTAGTTTTTAATTAGGGGGAATTTAATTAGAAAATGTAATTTGGGGGATTAGGGTTAGGGGTAGGCACGGATTAGATTAGGGATAGGGAATTTTCTAATTTAGGGGAATGGTTTATAATTAGGGTTAATTTTATAATTAGGGCTCAATTGAAATTAGGGCTAATTTGTAATTAGGGGAAATTTAATTAGAGAATATAATTTGGGGGATTAGGGTTAGGGGTAGGCACAAATTAGATTAGGGATAGGGGAATTTACTAATTTTGGGTAATGTTGTATAATTAACTTATAGTTACATAATTAAAATTACATTTAGTTTAATCTTCTAAATTATAGTTATGTAATCAAATTAAGGTTAGGGATGGTTTTTAGTGGCCGGATTAGGTTAGGGTTCTAGGAGAATAGGTTACGGTTGTAGTGGCTTAATTTAAATTTGTACATTCGTGTTATATAATGTTATTTTGTAATTACACATTTAGTTTTAAATTTGTTTACCTATAATAGTTAAATTTAAAATTTTAAAATTTTAATTTTAATTTTTTTTCTCTTTTAATTTTGTAGATGTCTCGCCTTGTATATATTCAGAGGGTTGCGAATAGTGGGTCCCCTGCATGTCCTTCACCAACTCTTACTGTGAGGAGCCCTCCAGCGACAGTGGACCCTCTTATGGCTGCGTTAGGAGGACCCGACGCGGCACAGGCGCTTGCATCATCGACGTCTTCGGTGGCGCTTCCGCCTAGTGCACGTCGTACTCACCAACATGCCTGGACTCCCAATGACACATCCCGACTGAATTCAAGGCATGCTGGCCGTCACGTGAGAGTGACGTAGTCACGTGCACAGTGCGGAAGCGATAAAGATAGCAAATATACGAATAATTAAAAAACTAGATTACTAGAGTTCACTACTAAACGAAGGTGATAGGAGTTAGTTACAACAGTGAACACTCCTAATCAGAGTATAAAGTCTAGGTGTAGTCCAGTAGGACAAGTACTAGTTACACAGTACCAGGAATGTTCTACTATTATTCAAATAGGTCAGAACTGCCGACGATCCTGAGCCACCGACGACAAGCTTACTTAAAACCTGGAGGGGCGCAAAACAGAAAACGTGAGTGGGCAAAAACAAATGTTTTACAAAATCATTTCATTTATCAATATACTAACCCCTCGCTGTAAAACATGTATAATTTTCCCAGAATCAAGATATAAGTATATACAATATATATATAAAATCATATCAATTCAATTCATGCTTCACATAATCATATTCATATGTATGCCATGCCAAAATATAACAAAGTAAACAATCCAGGTAAGAATGATTTCGTAGTAATATGATATGTTAGCCGGAACCCCTGAGGTAGTCTGTACGGCTGAATTCATAGCTCAAAGTTACTTTAGCCGGAGTCACTACAATGACCTATATGACAATATACTGCACATAAGTCGGAACCACTAAAAAGGGGTATGTACGACAAGATTGGATGTAATATAGTTATGCTCAATTTTATTCTCTCATAATAGCCGGGCGATGAATTGCTAGTCACCTACGAGTCGGAACCATGAGGAAGGTCTGTACGACAAGACTGTGCAATTAAGTTGGATCCAATATAAGCATATAGTGCAGGAGGTGATGTAAATAAACAGGCATGTACCTCATATCTCTGGCTAATTCACAATCACCCTAGGTGCAGCTTTATGAGCTCAACATTACTTAATCACATATTACATATCACATCATCGATGATTAACACAACCAAACATAACTTACCTGAGCTCACTTGTGCCTCCACAACACCACATTTATATATATATGCAACCATGCAATGCATATTCAAAATATAGAAGCATTTAGCATATTATTTCAAAGTATACTTTCTTTAAAATGCATTTCTGGGAAATACATCAAGTATATAAATATATACTGAAAACAAAAGCCCACTCATTGGTACGTCAAAGGGTCGTAGCCCTGAGTCGCCCGTGGATACGCTTGTCCTTGGGATAAGCTTAACCTATATGCGAATTAACTTTAAAAACGTTATTTTTAAAGCACATAGGCAAAACTAGCTAATAACTTCTCATACATTGCTCAAAATAGGTATCTGAATATACCACAGTGATCTACACAACCTCAGGATCATCCCCATACTTTTAGAATTATTTTTGGACCTCCCACGCGCTGCCACGCGCTGGCGGGTGCACGGCAAGACGCGCCACCACGCTCAGGGAATCTTGACGGATTCCTTAACTGCTGTTAGGAATATTCCTTTGAATATTCCATTAAAACCCAATGGAAACTGTCCAACTAACTGACGTCGTGAAAATATTTCATTAGACTTGACGGAATATTCTTCCATCTCCTGCCTCCAGCTCCGGCAACCGTCGCCGTCGCCGGAAATTAGGCAAATTTTCCAACTTCTTAATCTAGCTCATTTATGCACCATTTTTCATGCAATTACCATCAAAATGAAGTTTAGGAGGTAGAGAATTGCATTATACCTCTTTCACGCCTCGATTCGCGTGAAATTACGTCAGAGAAGTCCTTGAAGTCCGGCGACCTCTGCAAAGCTCCGTTTTCGAGCTTTCCGTGGTCCAAATCCTACCAACGATGCACTCCGAGCATCGTGAGGACCTCCTTGAGCTCACTGTGGTCCTAAAATTCACAAAAACTCAAGGGTTTAAAAGTTGATGAATAGTGCCCAAGTCGAAGGTCCACTTTTCGGGGTTTTCTGACGTCCAAAATCATTCCAATTTATGCCAAAACAAGCAAGAGGACTAAGAGATTACGTTTTGAGCCTTAGAATGGCTTGAAACCTCCACCAACTGGTTTGGTGTATTGTACACCCATGACTCTTTTTCAAACTAGGGTTTCTCGAAGGTTTCCTTGTTGAAAATGGGTACCACTCGACTCGTAAGGATCCTAGGAACACACTGAAGACCTTAGAACCTTCAATCCGTGCAGATTTTGGGTTTGTTTGAGTGTGTCCGTACAAGTTTGAAGAGAGAGAGAGTGAACTAAGAGGAAAAGAGAGAGAAGTCCATGGGATAGAGAGAGAAGGTATGTGTATGGTCCAAAAGCCACCAATCAAAACCAACAATTTCCTTACTTCCAATTGGGTCCAAAAACTTAGGGAAAATAATAAATGGGTCCAAATCCAACTTAAATCACACCACACTTAACATCCAAGGGTAAAATTGTCATTTCACTTCATCAAAAATTAGTTATTTGGGACGGACTGTGACACTCGACACAGCATCTGCATTCGACGCCACCCGCCCAAGTAAAATAATAAAATCCATTTAATTTAGCTAATTCAAATGCAGTTATTTGCTATTTTAACCAAAAAAAAAAAAATGGAGAAGAAAAATCTAAACCTAGCTAAATGACTAGTAAATATATTTACAAAACTTGATTTTTATCTTAAAAAAGATGTGTTTTAGATATTTCGTCCCTTAAAAAATTGTTCACAATGTTGCTTGCTAGTGTGCTTTGTTGTTTATTATGGTTTGCAGGTTTTGGGAATTGGTATAAATGTAGGGGAGGTTCTGTCGAAATTTCGATAAATTTTTAACTTAATGTATGACGTTTGTTTTATTGTTTTGCAGCTAAGAAAAACACCCAGGGACCTTGCCGATAGTTGAAGACGGGGCAGGTCACCCGGGTGACAAATGATCGTATCACGATAGGATATGACAAGAGGCATTGGGTTGCACCTACAGTGGAGCAGCATAGTGCATTGGCCCATGACCTGGGATATGTCGTTAGGACCGAGTGCTCTATGCTGTGAAAATCATGGCGCGAGATCCTAGCGAAGACGAAGAACCTAGTCCGCAATTGTTTATCGGTAAGTTCCTAACTTTGTTTTATTCAATTATATATCAAGTTCATATTTTTATATTAATTTTTTTTTCCTTTTTCAACTTTGACTTCAATTTTAATTTTGATTTTTTATTATTTTAATTTAATACATGATAAATTGTAGACAAACTACAATTTTGACGACATAACTAAGTCGATGGACAGCTACCTGGACATGTTGTTTTATGAGCGGTACAAGCAGTGGAAGAGAGACCTCCACAAACATTATGAGTTGTTTGATGCTCCGGAGGTCGCTCTAGAGGAGGATCGCCCGATGGAGTTGGAGGATCGGTCGGACGAGAGGGTGTGGCTCTACGGCCATTTTGAGGACCCTGCCTATGTGGTACATTTTTATATATGTATTACTTATTTAATTTTAATTGTTTTTAAAAATTATTCCTAATTTGGGTTATGCGTTTGTTTCATTATCTTTAAATATTACACTAATACATTTATTTTATGTTAATAGAAGAAGGCGAAAGCGAACAAGATCAATCGGGATAAGAAAACTCTTCTCCACCATTCTGGTTTGAGACCCTTCTCCAATAGGATGGAGGCACGACGACAAGTAATGAGAGTTTAATACTCGCACTTCCAATTTCTTACAAATATTCAATTTATTTTCCGTTGTCTTTATGTTTTTTTGTTGCTCTTATTCTAAGGGATTCTAAATTCCCAGAAATAGACGTCTTTAAGGATGTTTATGTTCGGCCCAGGGATGAGCTTGCCAAGCAACTGCACGTAAGTACTTCTTTTCAATTTCCTATTTTACACTTCCACAAATTACAAAATTTAATTTAATATTAATTCTTACCAATCCCCTTCTGTCTTATTGTCATAGTCGACGATGGTAGAGAGGATCCAGACCGTCCTTCAGGAGTCTACCTCTTAACTTCCCCCAGACACTCCTATTGAGTGTGTGGCTCCGCCCAAGGATGCGGGGTTTCAGATCTTGATTGAGACCTTGGATGTGACCTTCGGGCGGAGGCCGGGGAAGTATTGTCGAGGGATGGGGCATGCTCGTTAGCGCTATTGGGGCCTCATCATCATCGCAACCATAGGGCCCTGGCATCACTGAACTGACCTATGAAGTGGCCGACCTGACGAGTAAGCTCGCGCTGATAGTTGAGGCCCTCAGCTCGAATGGCATCCATCTCCTACTCGGCGTTATGGTCCCTTCCACCTTCGAGCCACATAACTCGTTGGCCTCCAGCCCGTCCAGCAGCCCGACCATCATCCTCCCCAACACACTGACTTGCAGCCTGACTCGCACCCTGACTCGTACCACAACCCCATTTATTGACCAAATAGATTATAGGTTTCTTTTTTCTTAGTTTTAAACTTTTTACTTGTACGTACATTTTTATTTGATATACAAATGTTATTTTTTTCCCTCCATTCATTAGAGTTGCAATTTTAATATAAAAAACCAAAAAAAAAAAAAAACAATTAAATTAACAAAACAAAAAAATTAATTAATTAAAATTAATTTAAAAAATTGACACCATGCAACGAGCACTTGGTCGAGTAATGTTTTTGCGAACTAGTGTCCTATATCAAGTATTCGTCACGCAAACTTACTGGCCACTAGAACCACCGTCCCATGTACTGTATCTTGTCCAGCTCGCTTTGTTCCATCAGGTTACGCGCGACAAACTAATTCCGTTCCCTTAAATTCTGTGCAACAACGTCTCTATCGTTGCGCATTTTCATTTTTGTGCAACAAAAATTTCACACAAAGTCTGTTTTCACGACCCTTGAGCGACGATTTTTGCCCGACGAGCTTCTTTGTCGCATAAATTCCAATGCGACACTATGCCGCTTTACGTGACGAATGGCCCTTTGTTGCGAAAAATGTTAAATGTAGTGGTGCATGATGGTTGTGGCTAGCTTTCTACATCGCTACAAATATTAATATACTCGCATTTATGTGATGAAGTTAAAAATCTCTTTCAAATCACAGAGTTGCTCTCTTAAAGTTCTCATCTTGATTCCTTAAATATGTGAAAAACATTGGTTTAAAAGTACTTGGATTAACTAGAAAACATTAGATTAAAAGTATTTGCTCTCCTAAAGTTCTCATACTAAATAACTAAGTGACATCAAAATGTTTGCTCCATTCAAATAGAGTAATTAGAAGAAATAATCTGGATTTGAAAAACATTAGATTAAAAGAATTTGGATTAACTAAAAATTTGAAATAGATTTGAAATAACGATATGTAAGAAATTGTTTGAAACACATTTTCTTCTTTCTTTATTAGTCAATATATATAGACATGCATATATAAAATTATAAAATTTAACCTTTTAGTGTTTATCTAAATCCCTAAATTTGAAATCGGTCATGTGAATTTAAATATCTCATTGCACAAGTCTAATTGCTATGCTCAAAGCTTGACTCTTAGCTACCTCCCATATTAAGATTTTCTTATGTTCTATATTTTGAATGGCTTCACAACTAAGCTTTTGAGGTCCTCTCAGGGCAAAATTATCATAAATACGAGCTAAATGATCTTTATTTTCTTATTTCCCATGCTACCTTTTTTCTCATATTCTAATAATGATTCTTACTTGGAAATTCTTTTTGGTGTCATCATTCTCCTATTGCAAAGCATGATATATTCTTCTCAAGCATTGAGTTTTAATTTTTATTTTCTCTCTAAAATGTAATATTACCAAGAGCTTATATGTGAAATACACATTTTAAAATGTGACTATATGTAAAATATAATCGCGAGTTATTTATGTGAGCTCCACACCTCGCTACTACATAGATAATAGGCTTGTATTTACCAATTGGATGAGTATATCTCTTCCTTTTTTTTCTCTCTTTTTTTCTTATGTCAAACGATAGATTTGTTAGATTAGATGTTAAATTAGGGAGCCGAAGAGGTTCGATAGTGTTGCAAAGGCAACACTCATCTCCACCACTGTGATAGAGGACCACTTGCAGATGAGCATGTCTATAACGTGTATACTTTTACATGCACACATGTATATGATCTTAATTTTGGACAAAAAGAGAGCAACAATACTACTAGAGAGTGTGTAAACAACACATGATTACTTTTTGTGTATCTAGCATTACTCAAAAGAAAAGATACATAATCATCTGCGTACTTATCTATTGTGACATTATTTGTTGACCCAAAAAATATGGTTTGTCCTTTTGGGACCGACGTAACGTTACTTAAATGAAACTTGTATCTAGCATTACTAAAATGAATCTTGTATAAAAATTAATTTTAATAATTAAATATTTAGATTTGTCAAATTTTTGGTCAACCTGTGGAGGCCAAACTCATCAAGGGGAAATTCGTAATTAGCTGGAAGGTTCTAATTCAAGCCAATTGTTACTTGGATCACTATGGAAGAAAATGGTTTATGCTAGAGTTCACGAATGAAGATGATGTACAGGTGGCGCTCAATGGGAGACCTTGGTATGTAAAAAGCTATATTTTCTACATTGAGAAGAAGATCCCATATTGGTAAGCCTTTCGGTCAACCTGTGGAGGCCAAACTCATCAAGTGGAAATTAGCAATTAGCTGGAAGCAAGGTTCTTAAAAATGCTAGGAGCTAGTTGGATGGTGACACACCCCGATCCGGAATATCAACTAGGACTCCGGATCGAGCTGTGCTGGCTGACACCTGGAAGGTGACGAAGCCATAAAATATAGTGATGTGGAAATTGTGAATAAATTTAAACCTAAAAGTACCTAAATACCAAAGTGCGCTGTGAGTGGGAATGAACCCATTTCACATGCAATGTCAGAGCATAAGTAAAGTACAGTAGTGTGGAGAAGGATCATACCATCGGAGGTAGCCACCTATATTGAGATTTGCCAAGAATCCTCTTTGGTACAGAAACTTTGCTACTAGAACCTGGAGAGGCAATAGGTAAGCTAAGTAGAATAAATCAATGTAAAATGATGTGTCAGTCAGAGTTACCTAACGTAACTTGTACGGCTGAGCTTATATCTCACAAATCAATTCCTGCACACGAGTCGAAACCACCTAAGGTGGTCTGTATAATAGGTTGGGTGTAAATAAATACGCTCAAGTGCTACGATCACGTGAAGACTGTGCAAAGTATCGTGGGTCACCTATGAGTCAGAACCACCTAATGTGGTCTGCACGACAGGCTGGCACTTGCCTTAGATCTAAGGTGAGCGTGTAGGGTGGGAGGTGAACAATCACGTGAAGGCTAGGCCCCAGCCTCAGGCGGAGCACTAACACTGGGGTGCAGGATAATTAGTTCTAAATGCATCTACGCATAACCATACACAATGCAACCACTATCACCATAATGTACTCACCTGAAGCTTACTTGGGCCTCTGCACGTCATTCAATATTATGCATCACTATACTAATGCAAATACAAAAATGTAATGCATCCATGACATGGCATTTCAATCATAAATTCATTTAAAAACAGTTTCTGGGAACTGTAAAGCGTATATACATATATATAGAAAACAAAAGCCCACTCACCTGGAGTCCGCGCTACAACTCCCTAGCACAAACATCAAGGCGTCACGAACGATCGGCGCCTAGAACAATTATCAAAACATGTCTTAGAATTCTTGTCAATAGAACATGTAACTTACATATCCAATTCGGGAAGATCCGTACATCGGATTTCCGATCTGTAAGTTTCTAATATCCTCAAATATTACGTATTATAACGTATCAAAGTTTGGTGACGATCCAATGGTCAGATCGTCAATTGCTATCATAATCAAGCGGCGGACCTTAATTGAACTACGTTTAAATGATGAAAATTCATGAACTGGACTTCACCAATGGAATTAGAGTATTCAAATTTAGCCTAGGAAGTTCAGAGGATGCCTCGGCCCACGAACTGCCGCAGGTGGTGGTTGGCCGCCCTTACTCGCCGGAAAAATCAACTTTTTCAAAAAATTCTCAAACTTCACAGAAATGAAGATCTCAGTGAGTAGAGAAACTTTCATGCCTGTGACTAAGGCCAATTTGGCCGGAAAAAGCCCCAATTTCATAAAAACCCGCTAGAACCCTAGATATGGGTGGTTCTGGATTCGTCCTCAAATTAACTCTGATGCTGCAACCACTAATTGGGCTTTGTTCCTAACCTCTTGAGGGGTGTTTGGTGGTGGTAATTGAATGTAAACGTTTTAGATTTGATGGATCTCGGCCACGGGTCTCACAGCACCCACGGGTGCAAAACCCCTCAATTCCAAACCTAATCCTCTCAAATTTGAAGTGGAAATGGTAAAACAAGAGTATAATTGATGATTAGGAGTGATGAATTGGCCCAATTCGACGGAAAAATGGTGAAATTCACCAGAGAACCCATCGATTACAACCCGGGTCACGGGTCGAAAGGGAACCCGGCCGGTTCCTCCGTTTTTCCCCTTCTCTCATTTCTCTCATTTCTCTCCTCACCCATTGGTCACTCTCTTCTCTCTCCTCTCCCCACTGGCCGGTTCCTCCCTCTTTTCCCTCCTTTATACACCATCTTCACCACCCATTTCACCTTTCTTTAAATCTGGCCACACACGTGGCTTTCCAGATTTTTCTCCAAAAATTTGGAGCGCTATTGAAACTAACTAATTTACTGAATGCCCTGACTTTAAACGTTAATATCTCCTTTGTTATAACTCCAAATCACGATCCGTTTGTGCCCACACGTCCGTGAGGTCGAACTCTATCCAAAAATGTCAAAAAACATGACAAAATATATGAGAATACATATGTCCTAAAAAAATCACGCTTTGCCCCTTAGGGCATTTCAGTAATTTCATGTGCTAAAATTATAAAAACCATAACTTTTAGGGACGGGCTGTTACAATCTATCCCCTTTTAGAAATTTTCATCCACGAAATTTAAAATTACTTGCCATAAATAAGATACTCGAAAACAGGGAGGAACATATTTACATAATTATAAGAAAGAAATCAAGTTGGAGCGGCTGCATAAAAGAGAATGCCATTCCGTTGCGATCGGATTACAATTATTCCTCTTTTATGCATCCAAGCTCATACCTTGTTCCTTCCTCAATAACATAGTAGTATAATACTTATATAACCCGTAAGGTTGAAACCACCAATTATTATGTAATAACATAAGGAAATACTTGTATTGTGTTTAAAACCAAGAGTGGAAATAACTCACCCAAAATTTGCAATGGAAAAATAAAGTAGTAAGAAAATATTTGTACGAAAAATCAAAACCCAAAATGAAAATGGACCTTGCTAAACATTCGTTGTGTCACAAACTTCGAGAATGAGTCCGAACCATAGCTAACTAGTAAGTGTTGTCGTAGATGAGCCGTCTTGTCCACTTGCTTAGTGAACCCAACAATTAAACCATCGATATTTCAGTCTGCAACTTAT